ATCTTATTAACTTATGTTATTGATCATAGATTTACTATTTTAGATAGATACTATGTTTTCTCCGAAATGTTAACTTTATCAAAAAGAATCTATTTAACTCAAACATGGTATATGTGATATAAACTGAAACAAAGGGGTTCGCACCGACACAAAATTTGTGTTTTCATAGACAAAAGAGGTTTTCACGCGAAAACTTGTGTTTTCATCCATACAAAATCTGTCAAACGAAAACACAGTTTTCGCTGAAAACCCCTTGAAAACTTACATTCCACTCATTATAATCATTGCCTGCTCAAGTTTAATCGATATTATTAGAAGACATATTTTGCTAGCCCTAAATGTCAGTTGACAATTTGATTACATTCCATAATTGGCCTAAACGTACCCTACAAGAAACTGCTGATGGGTTCACCAATACGCTCACATTTGATATGTCACTACTGTTAATTTACATTTGCATTTTTAGGAGGAGATGGCATCAAGTGAAAATTTATTTTTATATTTCATATTTTATTATATTTTTTGTTGCATTCCTTTTTATATTCAAGTATCTTATTATAACTCATTTTGATTAAAAGTTTGAAATTGATTAAAGAAATAAAAATTATCTACTGCACAAAAGAATTTTTCACTGCTGATAGCGTTTCAGTCATAACTGACAATTTTCAGCTATGAAGGATTTATGGTCAGCAATGACTCAGAAAAAAAAAAAACAAACAAAAAGAAAACAAGGATCTTAAGAAAATGATAGAAACTTTGTTCTGCGCGCTGATAAAATTTTTTCAGCTATGACTGTCATATTACCCATCAGATGACCGTCACTGTTCTTGTAGGGTACATAACGAATGTAAACAAATAGATGTGTGAACTGTCAATGAAAACTCTTCGAAAACACACAATGTCGGTCAGAACGATTTTGGTTCCACAATCCACAAATTGTGTTTTCAAGAGGATTTCAATTCGGTGCGAACATAGTATTATATTTAATATGTGGGGTATATGAGGTTGCTGTTGTACGAAAGGAGCTTAAATCAGTATATTAGGGCCATAAGGTTTAAACAAAGGTCTAGACCAATTTCATTAATATGCAGCGATAAACCACATTATTTTTATTATTTTTAAAATTAATTATTAAATTATACCATAAGTAGTATATGTATGCTGAGGAAATTCGTGGATCGATTTCACACATTTTCGGCATTAAACTGTTGTATATCTAATATTTTACGTTTATATAAAGCCAAACGGAAGTTTGAATTTTTTACATAAAGTATGTTGGAGCTAGGGTCAATATATACCCGATAATGGGTACTAGGGCGGAACCAAGAATTTCGTACTCTTGTAATTCGCAAGAATCAAAGGCCAGGAAATTCCTTCAGGTGTGGCAAAGTTGAGAAAGAATTAAACATCCATTGTTAAATGAAATCGTGATTACATTACAAACAAATTTGGTATCTTCTTGACTTATATTAAAGGCCAGAAACTTAGTCTCAGTTTTATTGCTATATTTAAGTTTGCGTCAGCGAAAATTATATTAAGAAAAAACCAAAAACATCTTGAAGTGAGATAAACATAAGTATGAATGTGATATTAACTCGACCAAAGTGGCTAAATTTTATATTATAAGCTTGTGTGGAAAACGTCAACCAGAGAAACGGAATTCATTATATGAAGGTGTGAGGTTTAGATCAAGGTATATACTATTTTCATTCTAATTCAGCGTCAAACCACATAATTTTTAAGAAAACTTATCCACTTAATTACATTAAAATATCACATTTTGATTAACTGGAACGGTTTAAAGTCAAGAGGAAAGACGGAAATCATATATATATTGCGGATAGAGAAAGATATTAATTTTTACATTTTACTAACATGCAACAGACTAATAAAATGCTCCCACTTTTTCATTAAGGTACCTCACATACCATCACCAATCATATGGAGTAAAGTCAAACGAATGTTCGAAAATCCTGATATTAGTTACATGGGGGCCAGGTAAAATTTTCACTCGATTTCATCCATTTTAGGCACGAGAATACCTTGTTATGAGTAAAACAAGCTCTCTTATTTTCATTGAGATAACTCACACATTGGCCGATATATGCGGTATAAAGTCACCCGGAAGTTCAAAAATCTTTATATTAGGTATATGAGGGCTATAGGAAGTATTGATTCGATTGAACCCATTTTTTGACACAAACATACTATTATCGATAGTTTTATTTATTTATTTTATTATATGAATTTCATTTAAATGTCTTACACATTGGCCGATATTTTCGGTAAAAAGGCAACTATAGGCACCGGGGTCAACAAATTCAGTACCTAGGGACTTGAATAGTTTTAGTTCGATTTAGACAATTTTTGGTCACAAGGTGGCATACTTCAAACGCATTATTCACGCAAATTTACCCCGATACAATCATTGTTGTTTGATTTGCATAGTGGAAAGTGAAAAAATCAGATGGAATTTAAAATGGTGTTATATGGCAATTAGGCGTGGTTGTAATCCGATTTCGCTGATTTTCGCACTATAGCATAGAAATATAAGAATAATATTATGTACCGAATTTGGTTGAAATCGGTTAAGCAGATCCTAAGATATGGGTTTCCACCTAAATGTTGGCGGTACCACGCCCATTGTCTAATTTCGAAAACGGCTCCTATAAAGTCAGCTCATACGATCCCTGTGTTAGAATTTAATGACTCTGGCGTGTTTAGTGCTTGATTTATCGCGCTTTTAGTCGTTTTTAACAGTACCGTTATATAGGGAGTGGGCGGAATTGTCACCCGATTTCACCCATTTTCACAGCGTAGATAGAGGTGCTAAAAAAATTTAACTGCCCCTCCCTAATGTGATCCTGTGTACTAAATAACAGTCTTGTATCTTATTGCGGAGCTTAGTTATGGCAATTTGTTTGTTTTTGATTAATGGCGTTTTGTGGGCGTGGCAGTGGTCTGATTACGCCCATCTGCAATACCAACCGTCTTACGGTATCAAAAAACCTGTGTACAGCTTTCACAGACGGACGGACGGACGGACAGACAGTCACCCGGATTTCAACTCGTCTCTTCATCCTGATCATTTATATATATATATAACCCTATATCCAACTCAATTAGTTTTTGGTGATTCAAACAACCGTTAGGTGAACAAAACTATTATACTCTGTAGCAACATGTTGCGAGAGTATAAAAATCAGGTACAATTCAATTGTATTCATGAACAGATATAAGTGAAAACATTCTACTTGTATTAATTTCAACAAAAACAAAAATAATAGTAGAAAAATGAGGTGCAATTCATGAACAACAATAATAATAATCAAAGCACTGTACCAAGTAATAAATAACTTAATAAATACTTATTAAATGTAAATTAAATCTGTGGGAATGTTAATAATCGAAAACTATTTGAAGATGTAATTAATAATTTTCTTAAAGTTATAAATTTTAAATCATAACACGGCAACACACTGTAGCAGATTTGAGATTAGGCGTTTTAGTAGTAAAATATTAGTTGGCAACCCGTACAAAGTGTGACTTTAGTAGTAGAATTTTTTAGGCAACCCGTACCAAGTGGTCCATTTTTGTGTGTGTTTAGTGAAATTTTTAGGATTAGCTACTTGTAGATTTGTACAATGATTGACAGTATTTCAATATCATGTACTACCACCATAAAATTTTGTATTAACAATATATAATATTAAGTAGACAGTCAATTGTAACGTCTACTGTAGTTTCAAAGAGTAAATCGAATGCATTTGGGTACGTAAGACAGGTGAAACATTTTTATTTCATTGCTTTTAAAATTTGCTTGATTTTCGACTTCGCCATAAGAAAATTTGGGTGGGCTTTAGTTTAGCATCCCACGATTTCAGGGTTAAGAGGGGTATGGTTGGATAGAGGAGATTCTGCAGATCACGAATATATATAATTATTGCCGCCGGAAACTTATAGTTTTCGAGATATTTGCATTTTAAGTTGAAAATTTCACAAACTTTATTTTAAAATTTCTCGATTTATGGTTAACTTTTCTTTCATATTATGCACTTTTTATACACTAACACTTCACTACAATGTTTCTACATATTTATTTTATGTTAATTATTTAAATATTTGCTTTAATTAAGCATTTTATTTTTACACAATTTTGGTTATATGCACAATAACAAATGGGTTCCATGTTGACAGTTAACAAGTGTTGCCATATCTATTATATATATATATAGATATATTTATATTTTGAAAGCGAATAAAAATGAATAATAAAAGAGGATTATACCCCAAATACATGAACAATTTATAATTTTGTTAATTCTCTTCTATTGATAAATTATGGTGTTGGACCGACCAGGGTTATTTTTTTGAAGCGCGGCCGAAGGCCGCCAATGCGGAAAGAAGTTTCACGCGATTGAATTTTGAACACCCCGGTGTTGGACCGACCAGGGTAATTTTTTTGAAGCGCGGCCGAAGGCCGCCAATGCGGAAAGAAGTTTCACGCGATTGAATTTTGAACACCCCGG